CGCTTTAGAAATACATACTTATATTTAACAAGGCTGAGAACTAGTGCTAGTTTCCCCACCCCGCATCTGAGGGATTTGGTATGGCCACTAATGCTAGTAAAAAACTAATATTAGTGAAAGACGAAAGAAAAGAAAAGATAGAAGAGAAGATGGTATAGCAAAAAGTAAAATAAATAAGTTGGAGATACAAAGAAGGAAATAGAAAATGTAGTACGAAGAAAGTAGGAAACAAGGAACATTTTAGAGGAGGGTGCCTTATCAATGTTTGTAGGAGCCAAGTACCCCGTAAAGGAAGAAAACATAAAACAACATTGTTCCAGTTACCAACGTCACGCTACATCATTGTATTTATACTTATACTACTCTTATCTTACTGTTACACAATAAAAAAAACATTAACATTAAGACATCGTATCCGAATAAAAGCCACGACAATGGCTTTAAAGGATCGCGCACATTATATCAGGTCACAGCGGGTCGGGTCGCAGCGCAAAAATCCGCAAATCGCTAGTATGTACAGGCAGTCCTGGACTTACGTCGTTTCAAGTTACGTGGAACAATGTTTTGACACTATTCCTCAAGCATACATCAATTGTTTCGATTTCCGGCATAGGAAATACACTTGTCGCGAAGTCAATGCCCGTGGGGTCGGCGTCCGTGGGGGTGTCTCGACTTACGTCGTTTCGATTTACGTCGCGTATTTCGAGAATCTGACATGCCGTAAGTACGAGGACTGCCTGTATTTTATATGAACTATCGCACACTATGTGGGGGTGCAGCGGACTGCATATTTCGCTGGGGATTTTGGTTGTGTGCGATGCGACACGTCCCGCCTCGCTGCGCCCCGGCACGGTGTGCTATATATATAACAAGCAGATTGAAGTGAAGCTTGTAAGGCCCTACTGGCCATAAGCATGAACTACGGGTGTTTTTAGTCAGTAAGATTCTGACATAACCCTGCAGCCGGCTGTAGGGTATCCATGAGGATTTCTCAACCGCTCCCCCACCTGGGAGGAAAAAATAAATAAAATGAAGTACATACAGTTGCGTGGAGGTCTGGTAGTACACTGTACCCAAAATCCGTCAATACGCTGCGACCCGACCCGTCACTAACGACTTAAGTGAGCATTTTACGCTGCGCTCCGCCCCGTTGCAGCCCGACATAATGTGCGCCCACCCCTAAAGCCATTGATGTGGCTTTAAATTGGGCGAACCCTTATTCGTCGTTTGTACTCATCATTTTCTATTTTCGTTGCTGCTCGAAATAAAGACATGAGAAATTGTTACTATCCATTAGTGCGATCAAAAACGACACATTTAAACCAACATAAAATTATATAACTGGTCAAATATAACTGGTACTTGCCAGTACTAAAACATGAAAGGCAAATAAACTTAATTGAATTAATAAATAATACGGAATATTATTAATTCAATTAAGTTTATTTGCATGAAATAGGGTACATTCATTTGTATAAAATAGCGTACATTTCATCTGGATTAAATAGTGTTCATTTTATCGTGCATGCCATTGAAATTGTCTCTGAATGCCTGTAACGAATATTTTTCGAAGGTTGGGAAGAACTAAGCCGATGACACTTTAAAGAGACTCGGAACTTCTGAAGGTATCTTGGCAACTGAATACTTGGCAATGATTCCATCTTTTTGCAACTAACTAACCCTCACGAAGTTTAGGCTTTGATCGATGGTCACAGGGGCGACAGTACCGCTGGCTTTGTCGGTTTGTTAATTCAACCCTTAATTCACATATTTAATTTAAGTATGACCTCTGGCATCTTTCCCCACTGCTAGAGGCTAGCAATTGTCACTCCCATTCACATAGACGGTGATAATAATTCTCCCAACAATTACAGGCCTATTTCATTGCGTCTCACAACTTTAGTTTACGTTTAGTAGCTTTTACGTTTCATGAGATACAGCCCTTTGACAGACGGATGGATGGACAAACGGACGGAAGGACGAAAGTGTAGGTTTTGCTCCGTTGGCTCCGTTGTAAGATACTAATTGCGGCGATTCCGAGCGTGGCCAAGAGCCATGGAACGGTTGGGCGCGGCGGCGACTTTAAGCGCGGCCTAGAGCCACGGAGCGACGGGGCGCGACGACGTTGTGCGCGGCCTAGAGCTACGCAGCGGCGGCAGGGCGCGACGACGTTGTGCGCTGCATCTTCGGGCACGAAATTTTAAACAAGCTTCTCAACAGATGTTTCCATTGTAACCACGCACCCTGCGATTGTTAGCTTTGATAGTTATAGCCCGATCCCCACTTTGTAGAAAGTTAGGAAACACAGCGTGTTAGTAACACTAATTGGAACGCCTGCCTACTTCGATTACGTTGTGACCTTTAAAACACAGGCGTCAAAATACTACACTTTCTGTTGTATTTGGTTACCAGAAATTTAGTTCTGGTTAGTTAGAGGATAAGATTCAATTAAAAACATTCGGTACCCGACCAACAAAAACCTTGTCTAGCGCGGTTAGTATACGATACCGTTTTAACCCAGTTATTTAGCGTTTCACCTACAAAAGTGAGATAATAATTACCTTGCAACAATTATATACGACAACCTCCGTAGACGAGTGGTTTGTACGCCGGGTTTCATGGTGACGCTGACTCGAGAGATCCTGGGTTCGAATCCCGGTGAGGGCAGATGTTTGTGTGATGAATACGAGTATTTGTACTTCATTCATGGATGTTTAATATGAATTTCTATATAAATATACTTATATATGTATCAGTATATGTATTTTATTTGTTACCCTAGAATCCTATAACACAAGCCTTACAGTACTTACTTTGAGGCTAGGCTAATTGGTGTGAGTGTTGGAAATATTTATTTATTAAAATTTGCTTCGATTTCTGATGCATCCTTTTTAGTATTCTTCGATTTTAGGCGCGCCAGAGCTATTTTCACAGCGTCCAGAGATCACGAAAAGGTTCATAGTCTATACTAATATTAAAAAGCTCAAGACTTTGTTTGCTTGAACACGCAAACCTTTTGATCCAATTTGAAAAAATAGTTTTGTATTGTTTTGATTATAATAATGTAATATATCTTTTTTGACAAAACTCCTTCCAGCTTTTCACTCTGGCGACATTCATTTCTCTTTCATACTTTTCTTTCGCTTCTATGTATTGCTCGACCACCCATATTTTGCGACTCGGTGCTGCCCATTTTATTCTCTGTTTCATTCTATTTTTTTCTTTCTTCATCCTTTTTAGCTCGTCGGATCACCACACAATCTTCATTTTATTATTTATCTTTTTTAATTTAATATGTTTTTTACAGTTTTGTTGTTGTTGTACTTTAGTGTATATATCTATTAAGTTTTCTAATTTTCCTATTTTATGTATTTCGGTTTTATTAATATTGTTTTCTCTAAATAGTTTTTGGATGTCTGTACGATACTCCATCCAGTTTGTTTTTAGGGTGATATATTGTCTTGTTGTTTTTGTGTTATTATTTATATTATTAATATTTTCTAAACTTAATTTAAATGCGATTGTGTTGTGGTCCGACGTTATTACATCATCCCTCACCTTCCACCCCAGCACCTTCTCCAGCATGTCGATCGAGCAAAACGTCACATCTACACTGCTCTTATACTGTGGCGTCTTTTACTTGAACCATATATGGGCCGATATCTTTGTCCGGCTCGAAGTAGTAAGAAATCACACCGAGTTCCCATTCTTGGTTTAATATTTTTATCACCACTATATTATTTGTTGTGAGGTCAGGATATTGTTGAATTTAGTGTTTGGGTATCAGTGATTCGGTATTTTATTTAATGTGTGTATGCTGTTGTTCGCAGTTGACCTTTACAGTGTTTGGGGACGGCGAGATCCTAAGGGGACCTCAGTCCGAGAATTGGCCAGAGTCTCTAGAGGTATTACAAGCGGATGGCATCTCCCCACGGGGGGTCTCCTCTCCGTCTGGAGCCTCTAGACCACTCGAACTTGAGGGGGTCGGCTCAATTAGAGGGCGTCTCTGAGACTCTGACCTCGGCTCCAGTTAGCCGTTGTCGTGGGAGGAATGATCCGATGTTCAGCCCACGTGCGACTGAGGGGACGCGATTCAGGCCTCTATTAATACGAGCGTGTCATTGTTAACAATATAAGATCTTGTCAGTCAGCACGTCGTGCTGAAATTGAATGAACACGTACAATAGTGGTATTGTACGATTATAGACATTGCGTGGTAGGAGATTCAAGAAATCGAGAAGGATATTTTTCCGTTACACAACTATCGGGTGAAAGTTAAAGTAATCGTGTAATTCGTGTATTGTATGTGAAACCGTTCCAAAAATCTATCTTATATCTTCCAAAAGTTTGTCTTAGTTTATTTTCGCAGTATTAAAAATGGAACTTTTATTTAACCAATTCGAGAGGCAAATCCACTATACTCTTTCTCTTGAAAAATCTGTTTATAATTTTTGACCTTTATCGGGTCTTTTTGTATCTTTATCTACACCCACGCTTTAAATCCTCTATAAAAGATTCTGAATCAGTTTGCTTTAATTTTTTAGTTAGTGCATTCGCCTAAATTCCAACTACTTAAGTTATTAATGAATGGGCACTTCTAGTCAAAAAAACTTCGAACATGGTCATGGCGAGTGCATCTTCGAGAAGAAGCAATCTGAGGACATGCCACCAAATACTTAAATGGACCTTTTTTTCTTTTTTAGTAAAAGAAATATTAATATTAATTAATAAACTAAAGGTTAAAATAAAGGTTGCCTTATTGCTAAAGTAGCAATCAGGCCCCCTTTTGTGTTTGTGTTCCTGAGTTTTATGTAATATGTATTTTTTTAAATAGTGCAATAAAGAATATTCATTCATTCAATAAACATCTGATCATTTGGCCAACTTACAACTTAGGTGTAGCATGCTAGAAAAAAACTTATGGCATTCTCAGCTTGTACATGCAAAAATTGCCCTTGGGATATTCACCATTTATACTTAAATCATTTTCCTCTTTCCAGATCCACTCGAATGATAAAGACGAAAGTTGGCTTGCTGAATGGCCACATCCACGGGGAAACACGACAGTCGAAGTCTCGAAAAACCATCATTCGTATGTTGGGTGAGTACCAAATAATATTTATTTATACGATAGTTATTACTAATACAGATTGAACTACTGCGGGTAAATTGTGTAATCGAAACAGTCAAAATATTTTACGTAGGAATCATACTTTTCTCGTTATAACACTGCCAATCTCTCTCATATCGTGTCTCTCTCACTACGATACATTGGCGAAATTTCTGTGTAAAACGGAAACAGCCACCGCTAAAAAATATAACACTGTGCAATCTCGTACCTCAAGTATTATTTATTATGCAAATATCTATAGAAAAATACGCCGAGATTATAAAAAATATAAATGGAATTTATAATCCACTTGCACCATATAAAAATGTCGATTTAAATTTATGAAAATGGTAAATGTGCATCTTTAAATTACATAAGTACGGATTATCATACGGAAATAAGTTACGCAAAAGCTTGAATTAATCATAATATTTATTATATTGCAAGCCCATTAAAATACATACAAAATAAAGAGAAGGGTTGGCTAAAAGGCTGTGAACCAAGAAGATCAAATGTAGCTGTCAATTTAAGTCGTTAATATTAGCTGTCATCTGCTCCGTTCCTTTGTACGCAGATTCCATTTTACAAAATTTTCAGATTTTCACCAATTTAATTTGAATTTATTGAGATTTTGATGAGTGAGTCTTTTTAAGTATAATTTTAGATGGTTTTGAGATAATTGGTACCAAGGTACAAATTGGATACAAATCGAAGGTCTCCTTTTGTCAAAACTATTTTAATTATGGTTTCGCATTTGTCTTGTGATGCCTATCGAATCGGTCAGAACAACAGTAGCAACCGATCCCTCCTCTTATCTGAATTGGGCTAGTGAATTTCGTCTGACCTAGGTAACCTAGAATACATTTGAAATGGTCAACAGCACACCAGATAGCCACCATCAATTAAAGCAGTTCAAACGCTAGATGTATAAATCTAAAGAAAATTTTACCAGAATAAAATCCACGCGGTCAGGCAGCAGACGGGACTCGAACCCGCACCCTCTGCTGCGGGCGGGTGCATTGACCAATTATGCTCCCAAATAGCCTGCTGCCTGGCCGCGTGGAATTTTTTCTAGTAAAATCTTCTTTAAAATCTAGTAACTATATGTTTTAATTCACTGAGGATTAGGATGTATGTGTATACTTCAAAAGTTTGCTATTTTTGATAAATGTTTTGCTCGACTCGTCACCATCACTGGACTGACATATTTGCGCTTGGTTTCGTTGTACCCGTGCGTGTGTATTTGTGCACGTACACGGCTGGGCTTAATTTTAACCGGTGCCACTTTTTTGTTCGCAGCGCTCCATCTTTACTTTTTTATTTACTCAGAGACAACAAAGTTATTCTCAAAGGACTATGAAAATCATTGCTGCACAAATTCTTCAAAGTTTTTATGAATACCACCGCTATCTGCCTATACTAATTGGTTCAAATAATTTGCAACAATGATAAATTCCTTTTCTATTTTTGATGTCATTGTTAAAAATATGGATCGTTCTTCTTTTAACATCTTCCGCCCCGACCCTACGGCAATGGAGATCGGTTTAATACCTACCAAAATAATTTGTTTATTTTCGATTTCTTTTTTGTTGTTCACTTTATATAATTTTATTTCCTTCCTCCTACCTTTGATGAAAATTAATCCCGGAAAGAATATTTCATGCGCACGCTTTATATTCATGAGCCTCAAGGTATTTCTTTTAGGATAAAAATAACCTTAGAAATAACTTCATTTTATTAACACGAGGTGAGGCCACGTGATGTTAAGTGTAAGTGGAGTATAGTCGCGATGATAGATGATGCGGCAGAGGATGTACCGCTCCAGCCATCATCACCTTGCCGGCCTTAACCCAAATTCCTTATCATACAGAACCCTACTCACCAGCAGAATCACAAAGCCACCAAAAGGTAGTGTTATTTTACTGTGATTTTCTGTAAGGTGGAGACTCATAATCATAATCTTTATTGCTTCATGTTGGTACATATATGGGTTCTTAAATTTAAAATAAAGATTCACAACATGAGCCCTGCAAGGGCATTGCAAATTTTCTTAATTTGTAACAAACAATAGTAACACTTAATAGTAATGGAAGTGATAATTATGTTTATATATTATTTCATTATTTGTCCTGATTAAATAGACATAACATTAAAGAAATATTTACAATTTAATTATTTTTTATCATTTACTTTTTAAGTAAAAAATTTACTTGCACTTTTCTAAGTGAAAAGCTTATAACGCTTATACTTAAAGTCGTGCTTACAAGCCTAATATTTTAAGCGCGCTTAATTAAGCGCTTATCGTTTAAACGCCCACCGCTAGTGCTTTGTAGTGTGTGTGACCTTACCGTAGACTTCCCCAGACAAGCGCTCCAATTTGAACGGGAAACTCGCTATGCCCTACCTCTATTAACTATTAGCTTATGTTGAGCGCAGGAGTCCATCGGTCCGCCTCAGAAACATCAATTGAATTAATGATTAATTTATTTGTCGTGCCTATATCGCTTTATTTTATTGTTTTACACATTATACTTGAAAATATGTGCGGCTCTACGGGAATTATTTCAATTATTGGATAAAAAAATCTGCCGAGTATAAATAATAAAACAAAAGGATGACAATGGTTGAAATCTTATATATAAAATTCTCGTGTCCCGATTCTCATGAAATTTTGTGTGCATATTGGGTAGATCTGAGAATCGGACAATATCTATTTTTCATCCCCCTAAATGTTAAGGGTAATCCACACCAAATTTTTTTTTTTTCAATTTTAGATAATTTTTTTTTATGATACATCATACAAAAATACATACAACCCTAAATTTTCACCCTTCTACCACCAACCCCTATTTTTTTATGGCGGTACGAAGTTCGCTGGGTCAGCTAGTCTATATCTAATATATAAAATTCTCGTGTCGCGGTGTTTCTGGTTAACTCCTCCGAAACGGCTCGACCGATTTTCGTGAAATTTTATATGCATATTCAGTAGGTCTGAGAATCGGATATAATCTATTTTTCATCCCCCTAAATGTTAAGGGTAATCCACCCCTATTTTTTTTTTAATTTTAGATATATTTTTTTTTAATTTTTTTATGATACATCATACACAAATACATACAACCCTAAATTTTCACCCTTCTACCACCAATCCCTATTTTTTTATGGCGGTACGAAGTTCGCTGGGACAGTTAGTCTAATATATAAAATTCTCGTGTCGCGGTGTTTGTGGTTAAACTCCTCCGAAACGGCTCGACCGATTTTCGTGAAATTTTATATGCATATTCAGTAGGTCTGAGAATCGGATGTAATCTATTTTTCATCCCCCTAAATGTTAAGGGTAATCCACCCATAATTTCTTTATTTAATTTTAGATATATATATTTTTTTTTAATTTTTTATGATACAGCATTAGTAAATTTAAACCCCTATTTTACCATCGCGATTTTTATTTTTAATATTTTTTTTTTAATTAAATTTTATCTTCCGCCTTCACCGGTCGATAACCGATCAACGATCAATCGATCAGTTATCCCCGCTAAATGTCTACCTGGGTCACCTCTCATCCAGCAAATATCACGGAGTAGGGATGAGAAGGAAGCCGGTCTCCTGTCTTCCTCAATATACAGTTTTCGGCCATTTTTTTGGTTTCATTTGTGTATCGATCGTAGCAGTGACTTATACGTATTATTTTAATTTTTCTGTGCATCTATTCCGTTAATTTTACTCTCATCGTGAATTTATTATTAATTTCCAGTGCAATAATTATTTTTTCACATTTTATTAATAACTGATAAAGGCAGTTTTAACTATTAGCCGAAACGGCTCGACCGATTTTTGTGAAATTTTATATGCATATTCAGTAGGTGTGAGAATCGGACAACATCTATTTTTCATCCCCCTAAATTTTAAGGGTGGTCCACACTTAAACTTTTTTTTTTTGGACCATCATCATACAAAAATACATACAACCCTAAATTTTCACCCTTCTACCACCAACCCCTATTTTTTATTCCGGTACGAAGTTCGCTGGGACAGTTACATAGTAGATATTTCTATAGATATTCAATATACGGATGGAGACATTGTAATGCTCCATCTTTATATATATAATTCTTCTGTGAGTGTGTATGTCACTGAACTTCTCTTAAACGACTGGACCGATTCTGATGAAATTTTTTGTGTGTGTTCAAGGGGATCTGAGAATGGTTTAGATTCACAATTTTGTCCGCTGGACAACCCCTATTTTTTTAGGGCGGTACGAAGTTCGCTGGGTCAGCTAGTACCTATATAAATAATTATAAAAAAGTGGCTTCAGACTTTCTCATTTCAGAACCAATACAATATTAAAAAAAAAGAAGAAGCGCAAGACACAATAGAACGTGACGTAAGCAGTATTCGAAAATTTAAAAAGTGGAAAATTGAATGCCGTAGAATGAAAACTGAGGTTCCCTAAGCGATGCGTGTGGAACTGAATTTTCTTTCATTGAATTTACGTCCTTCAAATTTGATTGTGTAGCTTTTGTAAAATTGTTTTTTCGTTATATAGTGAAAAGCTCTTCCACTGTTTCCTTTTGTTTATTTGTTGTTAATTTTTCTACGTATTCTAGATATAAATGCTGATTCATTATATTTACATTTTGAACAATTCTACCCCCAAGGGGATAAAATACCGGAGCGAAGCGAGGGCGGGCCACTTGTGTAAGATAAAAATGTATTTATATGAGGAGCCAAGGAGCTATATTTTATTTGTGTAAAATTGAACAGGTATATAAATAAATAATAAAATTGTTATTTTACATCGGGAAAGAAAACTCAAATGAAAATAATTCCACAACAAATTCGAGACGTTCAAATTTAAGAAAGTCAAACAAGGTCCTTTGACATTGGGTGGTTTCGATACGACGGGGCCTATGACGAGCTGTTTACATTGCATCTTCAGAAGATGCGGATTGGAGAGCTCAAATAATCTCCTCATTTTGAAAGCAACACAA